AAAAAAAAAAAAAAATCAAAAATCAAAATTGACCCAAGACATGAGAAACCACAGCACAAGGATCACTTGAGTTCAGAAGTTTGAAACCAGCCTGGGCAACATAGCAAGCCCCCATCTCTAAAAAGAATTAGCCAGGTATGGTGACCTGTGCCTGTACTTCCAGCTACTTGGCGAACTTAGACAGGAGGACCACTTGAGCCAAGGAATTTGAGACTGCAGTGAGCTATGATCACACCACTGCACTGCAGCTGGGTGATAGACTGAGACCCTGACTCAAAAAAAAGTGACAGAATTGAATGAAAAGGGATCCTAATCTCTCTCACAGCCACTCAAGTGAACCTTCCAGCACCACAGTCCACCTGCAGACAGTCGGGGGAGGGGCAGAGGGCAGCCTTGCAGGTGCAACTGCAGATCTAAACCTCAGTGGATAGGGAGCATCGTGCCCAGACCTCCACTTATCCTCTCTCAGCCAATGAAGAACCCAGGCAGGGGCCCCAGGCAAGATCCCACAGAACCACCAGTCCAGAGGGGGCAGAGCCGAGTGGCACCATGCCTGCATTCAGGTCCCTATTGCAACTCTGCCTCTGCCACGCCGTGTGTCTGGGCAGGGCTCTTGATTTCTCTAACCCTCACTTTCTTCTTCTAAAATGATGATACCTCACAGGGCTGTTGGGAGGATCAGAAACGAGGTTTATAAAATGCTCTTACTGAGAAATCCAGCAGTTCCAGGGCAGAGGCTGGATTATCCTGGACAGACTTGAGGAGACCAAAGCAGCCTTCACTTCGCATGGGATTCCTGGACACCTAAGAAACACGCACACAAAGCTGCGAGAAGCCGGGTCTGGGGAGGCCAGAGAGCAACGTGAAAGGGAAGGAGGGGCTCCTCATCTCTGAGGACACAGCTACTATGGCCACACTGTCTCAGCTCAGAAGGTGTCTCCATCAGACAGTCAGACAGAATGCTCTGGTGAGGCTGCTGGGCCAGAGAAGAGAGGAAGGGAGAGGCCTCTGACTGATACAGACACACAAGACACACTCTTGCCTTTAAGAACTTGCCTGCTGGGGAGAGGGGAGGGAAAGGAAGCATCATGAAATGTGGTGTGATCAGCGCAGAGTGTGCACCAGCTCCCCTGGGAGGGAAAGCCTGGGAGGGGAG